GCCCCACTTCGTGCTTGGGGTCCCGGTTTGGGATCTGGGACGGGACGGAGCCCCAGAACCACCACGGGCACACCTGGTGAGGCCAGGCTGGCACAGCCACACGGACACGGGCTGTGGATCTGGGATCCAGGGTGGGATCTGGGCCTGGGATCCGGGACTGGGGTCTGGATCTGGGATCCAGGATTGGGGTCTGGATCTGGGATTGGGATCTGGATCCAGGATCCAGGATGGAATCTGGTCCTGGAATCCAGGATCCAGGATGGGATCTGCCCTTCTGCAACCCCATGCCATGCTTGGGATCCAGGACCCAGCTTTGGGATCCAATCTGGCTCCGGGATCCAATCTGGATCTTGGATCCAATCTGGATCTGGGATCTGGGTTCCAGCTCTGGGATCCAGCTCTGGGATCTGGGATCCAGCTTTGGGATCTGGCTCTGGGATTCAGGATCCGACTCGGGGATCCAGTCTGGGTTTGAAATCCACTCTGGCTCTGGGATCTGGGTTCCAGCTCTGGGATCTGGGATCCATTCTGGCTCTGAGATCCAGGATCTGGGTCTTGGATCTGGTTCTGGGATCCAGCTCTGGGTTCCAGCTCTGGGTTCCATTCTGGCTCTGGAATCTGGGATCTGGGTCTTGGATCTGGCTCTGGGTTCCAGCCCTGGGTTCCAGCCCTGGGTTCCAGCTCTGGGTTCCATTCTGGCTCTGGGATCTGGGATCTGGGTCTTGGATCTGGCTCTGGAATCTGGGATCCAGCTCTGGGATCCATTCTGGCTCTGGGTTCCAGCTCTGGGTTCCAGCTCCGGGTTCCAGCTCTGGGTTCCATTCTGGCTCTGGAATCTGGGTTCCAGCTCTGGCATCTGGGATCCATTCCAGCTCTGGGTTCCAGCTCTGGGATCCATTCTGGCTCTGGGATCCATTCCAGCTCTGGGTTCCAGCTCTGGGATCCATTCTGGCTCTGAGATCCAGGATCTGGGTCTTGGATCTGGCTCTGGGTTCCAGCTTTGGGTTCCAGCTCTGGGATCCATTCTGGCTCTGAGATCCAGGATCTGGGTCTTGGATCTGGCTCTGGGTTCCAGCTTTGGGTTCCAGCTCTGGGTTCCATTCTGGCTCTGGAATCTGGGATCTGGGTCTTGGATCCGGCTCTGGAATCTGGGATCCAGCTCTGGGATCTGGGATCTGTTCTGGCTCTGGGATCCAGCTCTGGGATCCAGCTCTGGGATCCGTTCCAGCTCTGGGTTCCAGCTCTGGGTTCCATTCTGGCTCTGGCATCTGGGATCTGGGTCTTGGATCTGGCTCTGGAGTCTGGGATCCAGCTCTGGGATCTGGGATCCATTCTGGCTCTGGGATCCATTCCAGCTCCGGGTTCCAGCTCTGGGATCCATTCTGGCTCTGGGATCTGGGATCTGGGTCCTGGATCTGGCTCTGGGTTCCAGCTCTGGGTTCCAGCCCTGGGTTCCATCCTGGCTCTGGCATCTGGGATCTGGGTCTTGGATCTGGCTCTGGAATCTGGGATCCATTCTGGCTCTGGGTTCCAGCTCTGGGATCCGTTCTGGCTCTGGGATCCAATCTGGCTCTGGGTTCCAGCTCCGGGTTCCAGCTCTGGGATCCATTCTGGCTCTGGGATCCAGCTCTGGGTTCCATTCTGGCTCTGGAATCTGGGATCCATTCCATCTCTGGGATCCAGCCCTGGGTTCCAGCTCCGGGTTCCAGCTCTGGGATCCGTTCTGGCTCTGGGTTCCAGCCCTGGGTTCCATCCCGGCTCCAGGACCTCCTCCCA